ACCCTCAAAGAGGAATTGCAGCAGGCCATAGCCACAGAAAACCCTCCAATGGAGCGAGAGAGGAATGAAGAGGGGTTGCTCTATAAGAATAATCGGCTGTACGTTCCAACTCACCTGTACCATCGAATGCTCCGACTTGCTCATGACGCACCTCTAGCTGGCCACCCCGGCATCACCAGGACCCTGGATCTCCTTCGCCGTCACTTCTGGTGGCCAAAGATGGAGGAGACTATAAGGGAGTATGTGACGTCCTGCGAGACTTGTGCCTGTTCTAAACACGAAGCCAGGCCCCCTTTCGGTCTTCTCACAAGTCTCCCTATACCCGAAAAACCATGGGAGGCCGTTTCACTTGATTTTATCGTTGAGTGACCCCGCTCAGGCGGTTTCAACACGATCCTAGTCGCAGTCGACTACATCACCAAAATGGCTCACTTCGTCCCTCTCACTAAACTACTAACCTCCAAGGAGACTGCCGAGATCCTGACACAGCATGTCTTCAAACTCCATGGAATCCCTTCCAGGATTGTGTCGGATCGGGGATCGCAGTTCATTTCCAGATTCTGGAAAGCTCTCTGTCTCAAACTCCAGATTGACCATCGCTTATCCTCTGCCTACCATCCTCAAACAAATGGGCAAACCGAACGAGTAAACCGCTGTCTAGAGCAATATATCCGTTGTTACTGCACACATCTACAAAACAACTGGCATGAGTTACTTCCCCTAGCCGAGTTTGCATATAACACCAATACCAGTTCTACCACAGGTTGTTCGCCTTTCTATGCTAACTACGGTTTCCATCCCTCAGGAGATTCCTACCAACAACCCAGCGGCTGAGGATTATGTCAACAACCTAAAGGAGCTTCTTCCCCATCTACGGGACAACATCGCTAAAGCCCAGGGCAAGCAGAAGACCTACTACGACCGTCACAGGAGAACTCCACCTGCATACAACAACGGTGACCTAGTATGGTTATCCACCAAACATCTTAAACTGCAGACGCCATCACGCAAATTTAGTGGGTTATTCATTGGTCCTTTTCCCATCCACTCGCTGATCAACCCGGCAGACGTAAGGCTGGTATTGCCGTCAACTTTACGGGTTCATCCGGCGTTCCACTTCTCTCTGATCAAGCCCTACCGTCCCAACACCTTCCCCAGTAGGATTCCGGTCCCATTGCCACCAGTCGAGGTTAACGGCCAGGAGGAATACGAAGTCGGGCATATCTTAGACTCCCGTCTACATAGAAACCGTTTACAGTATCTGATCCGTTGGATGAACTACGGTCCGCAGGACAACTCCTGGGAACCCGCCTCCGAGGTTCATGCTCCACTCCTTGTCCGGATGTTCCATTCCCGCAATCCTGACAGGCCTGGTCCCTTGGCCCCCAGTAGGGGACCCTCAGGGGTTGGGTCCTTTTGTTTTGCTTTACCGATTTGGTGCAGCGACGCATGGGGTTTCTCAGCTGCCAATGGGATGTGCGGGATCCCTTGTGTGTCTCTGTACCTTTAAGGAGGTGGGGCGTCCTCCTGACCTACCGCATTACACTTATATACCTTTTTCAGGTGTTATACAATTCTGAATATGGTTCTGAAACTCACATATTTATGCACAGAGTTACAAGAAGGGGCAATGTAATATATAACTATAACTTTGAAAAAAAAATATTTTATCTTTATATGCTTGAGTAGTAATGGCTACCGTACAATATTAGTCTATAGAGACAGAGATGAGGGATGTCATTGGGGTAATCAATAAGAAGTCTATAAGAAGAAATCCTTACCTAAATGACTAAAGGTCCTTTGGAAATGTCCAAACACTGGAGAAGCAATAAAATACATCAATTAATAAATTACGACCACATTTCTTGACCCACTTAAATATTAAAGATTATTGTAAGTAATCAAGTCATGAAAGTGTTATTGAGCTAATTAAATAAAAGATAAGTCCATACTTGCCACATCTGTCAAAGTCATGAAAGTCCTTTTGAAATGCAAACGCATTTGCATTCCCAATTCAACTTCTCTGTCTGCGGTTTTAAGTTCCCCATCAGTGCCAGAATCTTGATATCAAATTTTGCTGTAGCCTGTGCTGCAGAAAAAGGCCACTACAGGAGCGTTTGTTTTGTTGTTAATTGAGAATCTGTGAAAGTTCATTCATTGGGTAAGAGTTTCACCTGTCTCCCATGCATAGAGTACTGTGCATTTTGAACATAACAGGTATACCTAGTTTAAGGATCTTCTGGTAAAAGTGTTCTGTATTCGGTACTCCTGCTGTGATCCTGGTACTGGTACCCTATGGGTGCTGTTGATATGTATGCAGGTTTCACATCGCTTCTGAATGCATCCATTTAGTACTGGGCTATTTAGAGATCTTCTCACAATAAGTTGCCTCAGATTGGGTGCTTGCCGATTTGCTAGGAGAGGTGGTTCTGAGAACATTTCTTGACGTCTTTCATCCTAATGCAGAAAAGGCTGGAGTTCTTTTTTTAATTTTTCGTATAACTTCAAGGCAAGGGTTATAGGTGGCCACCAATGAGACCCAATTATACTTTTAATTTTGTTTATAACATAAAAGATTGGTTCTAGGGATGTTAATAGCGTGTTGGTTGTCACTGGAATATATTCCTGAAAAAAATCTTTCCTGAGGTGTTTTAGTTGGCCATTTCTGTCTGTGGTGTCTGAACGGATCTGATGGTATCCTTTAGTCTGAACATAGATTTGTTTATCTGTCTGGGATCGAAGCTGTCATGGCTGAGATAAGCGGGGCATAACAACATTTTCAGAATTATATATCTTGAAGAAGGGAACTAAGTCATTCCAAAAGCTTGCATCTTTAATAACATTAATTAGCCAATGAAGGATATCAATTAAACTTCCAGCTTTCTGCATTAATTGATAGCTAACATGGTACAGTACTCTACTACTGCTGTAATAGTGAAGAAATTAAAGAACAGAGGTACTGAAAAGGTATTGAGATTCTTTTTTTAGCTATAATTGAAGAAAGTGCATGTTTGAAATAACAATAGGATTCCAGCTCTTTGCCTTTCTACTATAAAAATTATTCTACAAGAAGCTTCCATTTCATATTACCAACCTTTTCAATCACCTTTACACTCACACAGACCTACATAATTCTTCTTCAATGGCACACATCTTAATGCTATCGAAGACAGGCAACGATTCCCCGGACCCCCATAATTATAGGACTATCTCACTCCTAAATGTTGATATGAAATTACTGTCTAAATATCTACAAGACTTAATTCATTCTTACATATGCTAATCCACAAAGATCAAGAGGGCTTTGTCCTGCATAGACAAGCATCGGATAATACTCATAAAGTAATCCATTTAATCTATTTAATACATCAACAACATATCATAGGCATGCTCCTGGGACTTGACTTTCATAAAGTATTCAATGCTTTATCATGGGACTATATGCTCTTTGCACAACAGAAATGGGTTTTTACACCCACATTTTCTCCAAGCTTCAACCATTATATTACAAACCAAAGTATGATACCTTAACCATTTCTACAGCACTGTTCGTATAGAAAGGGGAACCCACCACCGGTGCCCCCTCTCCAGAGGTCCGATTTACTCATGGTGCACTTCTGCCTTGAAGCTTTACTACTTTATAGGAGTTTTCATCTTAAAAGTGAATTTTGAAGGGGCCCTGGTGTCTACCTCATACTATTGCCCCCTCTTCTTTTATCTTACCTATCTTGTGTTCTATAAACTGTTTACTCCCCCCCCACTTTTTTTTTGCTTTGCTTTTCCTTTCATTCCCTCACACTATTGTCTCCGTTCACACCTTATAAGAAAATGACAACCTAAGGGATGGTTTGATGGAAGTACTTCAGTTGATTGTCTTCCCCACATGTGGCCCCACAAGACCGCAGACTTAAGATGGCCATACACCTATAGATTATCTGCAGATTTTCTATGATCGGATGGATAAAGTGCAACAGATTCCACCCTCTACGCTAAACTGTGTGGATGAAGGAATCTCCCTCTGGGCCAAACTTCAGTATATTGCTAGTCGGGCCCGCTGGCTCTGAAAATACCTGAACAATCTGATTGGATGCAGGCATTGTTTAGGTATTTTGAGAGCCAGCGGGGACGACTAGCAAGATACTGAAGCTTGGCCCAGTGGGAGATTCCTCCATCCACACAGTTTAGCATAGATGGAGGAATCTGTTGCACTTTTTGTATCTGACCATAGAAAATATGCAGATAATCTATAGGTCAATGGCCAGCTTTGGTCTGCTAGTTAACAATGGAGACATACATGGGATTTTGTATCAAACAGCTTTATGGTACCACAGTTGAATGGTCATTGTATGGACAAGTGCTTTAATAAAAACCTATTAAAAATGAAATAACAATAAGATGCAGCAGTAGAACAAATAAGGAATGAACTGCTTAGTTACTGGAATGTAGTTCATAGGAACACAGTATGGAGTGATGTGGACTACCAATGTGCTTGTTGTGCTGCAATTACATGCGTATTTTACCTCAGAGCATTGTCATTCAGTTAATTGTTTATTGTTATGCTGCCACCCTTTGGTCACTGTTTTGCTAGACTTATTTTTGTGTGCATCCTCCCCTTTGTGGAATGCAATTTCCTCCTTCCTCATTGTGATTTCCTTCTTTATGTCCTGCAAGACATACTGATGTGAGGATAGAAATATTCCTTTTGACTACTTCAAATACCAACATCTGCTGCATTATATTGTTGGCGTGAACCCTTCTGCATGCAATAAATATATGTGTTGATGCAAAGTAATTGATGAGCTCAGCTATCTGATAAGGATTGTCTGCAGTAATTGTCTCTGCTCAAATTCAGGCTAGTCATAAAGGTCTCAGGAAGGGATAAGTCACTATTACATTAACTGGAGTCACAATACCTTTTGTTAAACACTTAATAAATATATTATATGTTTCTGATATGCAAAAATTTAAAGGAATCTTGTTTTCAATGTTTTCTTCAACAGATTTTGCTGAGCTTGTTTGTGGCAGTTATCCTGGACAATTTGGAGCTTGACGAAGATTTAAAAAAGCTTAAGCAGGTAATCCATAGTATTAAGGATATATTATTTTTAGGTTTTTCATGGAGTCAATTCAGTCTGGTGTGGCATTTACAGATGTGCCTACAAACTTCCCCTTTGCCTTAATACATTAACTTGCCCAGTTCTCCTTTCATTCGGCCAAATCCCTGCAAGCGTAAAATGAGGAGCAGGTGCCTTGCAGCATGGGGTTAGATTACCCAGCCATTTATCCTGCATCCAGTGTACTATCCAATAAGTGTGATGACCTGACTTCCTATGGAAGACAATCCTGTCTCCTTCTTATCCTAATTTAACAGGGTGGTCTCACTTATTCTTAAGCAAATTCAGGGCTTATTCACACTAGCTATTGCCTTGCTGAAAATGCCAGTCACCACCTATAGTGTGAACAAGCCTTGAGAGTTATTTGTCCCTTTTAGCAGCATGCCTTCATTCGCATATATTAGCATTTCACATGCCTGTCTGGAATATATAGGTGCCATGATGTAATGAGTGAAAAGAATGCAGGGACCCAAATCACATTAGAATTCTTATATGAAAATGTGTCCCCGCAGAAAACAAATTCCCCTTCCAGTTTTTACCTGCAATAGATACATAAAAACATTTACTTACATTTACCTACATGGGCAACATAGACTGTTTTTTTTCAGACACATTAATTTGCTCCCTTACTCCTTTTAAATTACTCATATGGCCAAAAACAAACAATTTTTCTTGCTAATCATATAATTAGGGTCTGAGTGCAGAGAACCATTATAAAGGAGAAAGACAGCAGTAATTGCATTGAAAGAGACTAGCACTGTCAACTTCAATCATATCAATATTTTCCCTGTATGAAGACTGACCATTTTAAGGTAAAACTTTGAATATGCATTATAACTAACTAGACAGACAGTTTACAGAGACAGTATAAAATGTTCTTTTGAGAAAGTAATTTTTTTTTTTTTTCTACAGTTAACATTTCAGCATATGTGGATAAAATTAAATTCATTTGAAAAGAGCCTTGTTACATATTGTTCCAAAGAAGCTATGGAGAAAATATTCTGAGGTTGATTATTACTAGGGATGCACCGATATATCCGCCGAAACATATAGGCCGAAAATGGCACTTTTGGCTAAATGCCGAGAGTGCCATTTTTGTGCCGATACATCAGCGCATCCCTGCTTTCTCTTCTCCTCGCTGGGCGCTGCTCTGTGTCCCAGCGGGGAGGAGAGAAAGTGACAGCCGGCCGAACGCTTCTGGAGGAGATCGATGTGAACGGCCGGTGTCTCTCCTCCCACACCGCTCGGCCGCCTATCACAGTGCGGCAGACCACTGTGGGGGCGTAGACAGCGCTGTCACAGGAGGCTGAGCTCTCCTCCCGCACCGCTCGCTCAGCCTCCTGTGATAACGTGTCAGAGAGAAGAGCAGGCTAGAAATACTCAGCGATCAGTGATGTAGATAACTGAGGATATGTATGTGTACTATATCCTCAATTATGAATGAATGGGAGGTGATCTATATCCCCTCCTGTTCATTCATAGTTGTAGTTATAGTAAACATACTATATTCTCAAGTTATCAGTGAACAGGAACACTCATAGAGGATTCCTGTTCATTGATAACATGGGCTGCAGAAAAAGAGATTGAGGACTTTGTGTCCTGCATCTCTTTTTCTATTTTAAAAAGTCCAGACTTTAGATAAAATCCTTTAATTGAAAAAAAACAAAGAGCCAATTTTTGACAATCCCTTTAATTAAAAAAAATATAATGGCTACATTGATGTAATCCAGCGTCAATCACGATGCACGATGCCCACCGACCCGCCGAAATAAAAAAAGTCCCACCGCACGGCAAATCATCCGAACCCGACGAAAACTCGCCGCAAAATGACATTCCTGCTAGCATGTAAACAGATGGGTGGAGCGAGTCGTGACATCATATGAAATTTTGTCCACACTACCGCTAACGCATTTCGTAATCGGAAATTCGGATTCGTTTGCATTCGTTACATCCGAATCTCAGAATTTCCCAAATTTCGTCCAAATTTCAATTCGGAACGAAAACGAATTGCACATGTCTTACTTCACTGAAACTAAAAAATACTCCTAATAGATCACCTTTAATCTGCGGTGATATTAAATATTCAATTCTATTTGTGTATTCATCATAACAAAAGAATTATTTTAATGTGTTGGATTGCTCAGTATAGATAAACACTATTTCAAATATATATCCTTTGTTGTTTGGTTTAAATTACAACAAATAACATTTTAAAATATCATGTGAGTAGAAGGCATCCTTTTCTTAGCATTGAATGTATGTTGAATGTATGTGATGCAGAGATTATTTAATAATCTATCTGGAAGGTTGTACATTTTAGGATTATGATCTGTTATTAGGGTTGCCACCTGTCTATGGTTCATGGGTTTTGAATGCTGTGTTCAGGTTTCATGGCAGCTGAAACTCAGGCACAAGATGTCAGGCAGACAGGGGCAACTAAAATTAAGATAGGGGCTACTGACTCCCCACTGAAAATAGGCTCAGCTGTGATATTTACATATGAATGGGTGGTCCAATTTACATATGTAAATAATGTATAATGGTTAATTGATAAGCAAATTATGCACCCCCCCCATTATAGAAGGTGGTATGGTCCGACATTCTGGCAGGGAAAGGTATTTGAGCTGTTCTTCTTCTTATATCTCCTTTATCTGTCAGTGTGTGGTTATCAGCCTTTGTGGTTAACATATTGACATATTGTATTGCTCTCTCATGCCTTTTTGCAATATTGTAAGTTGGGGTTTGTTTTATATTTACTTTCAAGAGGTATTGCAGAAAAATGTCTCTCCTCGCTCTATCCCGTGTGTCTCTCCAAACTGTCTCTCCCCTCTCTCTCCAAACTGTCTCTCCCCTCTCTCTCCTAGCTGTCTCTTTTCGCTCTCTCTCTCTCTCTCTCTCTCTCTCGTGGATGTCTAAATATGCTCCCTGGCTCTCTCTCTCTCTCCTGGCTGTTTCTCCTCACTCTCTCCCCTGGCTGCCTCTCTCCGCTCTCTCTTTTCTCTCTCTCTTTCCTGGCTGACTCTCCTGGCTCTCGCCTGCATATTCTACCAACAAATTGCCATGCGGTGCTAGAGTGTTCGGGTTTGGCTTGAAGAAATGGTGGAAACCTTATCTGTTATTACATGTATCAGGGCCGGAATACGTGTAGCATCAGGGGTGTTTGTCACATAATGTATGTGGAAATGTTCACTTGAAATCATGCATATGGATTTATTAGGTGGTGGAGTTTTCACAGCGATATTAACTAAAAAGCCACAGAATTAAACTGAACCCTTAATGTAGCAGATCATAACAGCCGGTCTTAGCCTACTTCTTGAATAGTGCCAGAAGTTGTTTTATAGAGTGGGATTGCCTGACCTATGACAGTGATCTATATAGGACTGGTGCTGACTCACAATACAGGTATGTGTGTGTGTCTGTATATATATATATATATATATATATATATATATATATATATATATATATATATATATATATATATATATATATATATATATATATATATATATATATATATATATATATATATATATATATATATATATATATATATATATATATATATATATATATATATATATATATATATATATATATATATATATATATATATATATATATATATATATATATATATATATATATATATATATATATATATATATATATATATATATATATATATATATATATATATATATATATATATATATATATATATATATATATATATATATATATATATATATATATATATATATATATATATATATATATATATATATATATATATATATATATATATATATATATATATATATATATATATATATATATATATATATATATATATATATATATATATATATATATATATATATATATATATATATATATATATATATATATATATATATATATATATATATATATATATATATATATATATATATATATATATATATATATATATATATATATATATATATATATATATATATATATATATATATATATATATATATATATATATATATATATATATATATATATATATATATATATATATATATATATATATATATATATATATATATATATATATATATATATATATATATATATATATATATATATATATATATATATATATATATATATATATATATATATATATATATATATATATATATATATATATATATATATATATATATATATATATATATATATATATATATATATATATATATATATATATATATATATATATATATATATATATATATATATATATATATATATATATATATATATATATATATATATATATATATATATATATATATATATATATATATATATATATATATATATATATATATATATATATATATATATATATATATATATATATATATATATATATATATATATATATATATATATATATATATATATATATATATATATATATATATATATATATATATATATATATATATATATATATATATATATATATATATATATATATATATATATATATATATATATATATATATATATATATATATATATATATATATATATATATATATATATATATATATATATATATATATATATATATATATATATATATATATATATATATATATATATATATATATATATATATATATATATATATATATATATATATATATATATATATATATATATATATATATATATATATATATATATACACATACAGACACACACACATATTATTTATTTTTTCCTTAACAAATCAAGCATCAAGCACCAACAGATACTAACATTTGTGACTTGTGTTGTGATTTACTGTAAACATCTGAAAATCTTCAAACGCATACTACTAATACTTAATGAGGAACTCCAGGAAATTAAAAAGGTAACCCTTGCAGTGGAGCTTTCGCCGCATTGCAAAGGTT